TAGGCCCTTTGAACCTTTTTCAAGATAAGGAAACAACTAACCAAACGATGTTCCCTGTCAAGCTTTCCATATGTATCATCCTGTTGTACTCCTGGCAATATCCCGAAAACGTACGACAATAATTGTGGTTGCCTTAGAATGGGCATTCCCATTTATGATTATAATGTTATTGGTGCTCCTAACAATTAAAAACACTTCTTCGTTCTTTTCTTGTATGTAAATACCTGTGTATTGTATAACCTTCCTAATACATCCGCCCCTGTTCTCATATACTAGGTAAATGACTTCGGCACATCATGGAATCCAACAACTGTCGGAAACAGCATCACCGGTGTCAGGATGAGAAGATTACTGACGGTTGAATTGGATATGCAAGCACCAAAGCAAACTAAAGTTCTGGCTAAACCTGGTAAGGGTACACCTAAGAAAACCGCGTCAGCGGGGAAGTCCGTATCATCAGATCCCAAGGTTGAATCCGAAGGATTGTCAACGTCCCCAAAAAATGAGGAACAGGGCGCAAAAGCAGATAAGAAGTCTGAAGAACCTTCTGGGAACGGTGAAACCGATGTGCAAACACCAGAACAAAGTCACAAACTTCCCGTTAATCCCAGTGGAGACTCCTGTCCTGAGACCAAGGTGCCCACTGAAAAGTATGAATCATCCGATCCTAAGGTTCCATCAGAAGGGTCATTGGCACCATCCCCACAAAATAAGGAACATAGTAAAAAGAAAACGGAGAAGCCCAAGGAACCTCAAGTAAATGGTGAAACTAATAAGCAAACACCAGAACAAAGTATATCTCCCGTCAGTCCTATTGGAGCATTTTTTAAGAACACCGCTTTAGGCAAAATATTTAAAGAACAAAATCCTGCGGTTGAATCAGATGGACCATTACCAGCCTCACAGAATAAAGAACAAGGCGTAAAAGCGACGAAGAAGCCCGCAGGACGCTCCAGTACAACGAAACATATTTCAACTACGAATAAAAGATGGGTAGGCTTCGGTGTGTCCAATTCTGCTTTTAATACAGCAGTGGGTTGCTTGTACTTCGTACCAGTTCTTAAAGATCTTTGGATTATCATATTTATTTCTGCAGCTAGCGGAAGCATAGTTGTTGTGCTCTTGATTCTGTTATACCTGTGTATTCGTGGAAAGAAATGGTCAAGAAAGTCGAATAAAAAATTGACGCCCAGAACTCCGCCCAAAACTAACAAAAACCCAAATGTACCTAAGAAATCAGAAGCACATGGGAAACCAACAGTACCTAACAAACCATAAGTAACATTCGTTTTCTACTTCTGGTAGGGAGCTTCAATGTTATGATTTTAGATATGAATCAGGTCTACCTTCTTATGACTTTTTGCACTGTGTGTATGATATGGTTCATTCATAATTGTAACATATATTCCTGTGTTCTGTTTTAAACCATAATATTGTTTATATCTTCCTAATACAAATGGTTTGCGCGCATACAGCGCGGTTTGTTTCTGTAATTCGTTGTCTATTGATATTATGCGCAGGGAGCACTCTTTGAGCGGAATGCGTCCTGTTTCCTACATAAATACATATATATGTACGCATATATATTCTCATATTTATAACTCATAATGTGCCACATCATATAGGTAACATGTACTATACTACGACTATACTAGATACAGTGTGTACTAAGTACTTTTATAATGTGTAAAAAGTTCTTGTCCTTTTTCTTTTTTTACTTCAACAATTCTGGTCTCTGCTTCATAACTATGCTCCGTACGGCAATTATTTGAACGATAATACAGCCATTCACTGATGCAACATCAGCATCCGCTATTGCAACACCGGTCACATCAATACCTGCGAAAACGCATAAAGAATAGCAACTGCTATGAAACCTACGTTCTTTATATATTCTTCAAGGAAGCGGATGAAGGCCATATGTACAACATTGTTCTATAATTATATATGTGAATATATGACTGTCTTGCTGTTTGCACGTAATTCTATATATTTTTCTTCTTATATGTATAATCGTCCCATATAATTCGTAGTGCGCTTAAGACTATAAGAGTAAATATAATATTTGTACAATGAAACGGTAAAAACATGAACCCAGGAATTCCATAACCACCAGCAGTACGCGTGGAACCTTGAATCTTAACACCCCAAACTGTACACCTGGAGCCGTGAACCCTTAATCTTATAACCACCAGCACGAAGCTTTGAACCCTAAACCTTAACACCCCGAACCTGAAACCCTTAATACTCTGAACCTTGTACCTTGAACCCGTACATTCAAGTACTGTGCACAATTTGTCCACACTAAATTGCTATAAACAGGAAAGGTTCATACAAAAGGGGAGCTCCTTTATCAAATGAGCACTTAATGCGATTCACCCGCCCCCCTCGAAGCATTTAAAAGAGCATGTGAAAAAAAAAAAAGAGAAAGGACTATAGCAAAATACAATTCAAGCATTGCCCCCTTGTTTATTATTTTTTTCTTGCAATGATCAAAAAAAAGAGAACGAATTTTACCATCAATAACGCAAGTTCTAAGTGTACTTGAATAATGTGCACAGGAATAAAGGAAACAGAAAAAAAAAACAAGACCCACGTGTCAGACGAATACTAAGGTGTGTAATCAAAGTGATAACAAAAATTTTCACAGCATAGAAGTGACCTGTGTACTATTCAACTGACTCGGTGCTCATTAGAGTATGCATACTTATATGCAATGAAAATGACATGCGCCCTAGGCAACTAATTCGAGGTACCCAAATTAGCGTAGCACTTCTCCCTTAGCCTCAGTGGTTAAGTGCAGGCAGAAACATTCTTTTATTTGAACGAAGCGAACAGGGGAAAGAAGGTACCTCAAGAGTCTATAAAAAATCTCCTTAATTGTGCTCAAAAATCCCGCACAACATCCATGCTTATATTGCGATATCATGTGTTCGTAGCCGCTGCGGGTATAAAATTGACGCAGCGTTCCATTGCGGGTATAAAGTTCACGCCGCGTTCCACTGCGGCCGTTTCGACTTTACAGCGGTAAGCACCCCGCGCTTTCCCAAATTTTGTGATTTTTTTATTTTTTTTCTCCTCTTCTTTTCGTACTTTTCGTGCCCATGTTAATAAGGTCAAGGTTGATTAATGTTATTCCCTGTTTTTTCTTTTTTTCCCATGATCGTATGTTCCCATATACGCCATTGCGCAGGTGCACGTACGAAAGAGCCCGGCAAGGGTAAATTAGCACAACCCATCCACACGCTGCTGGTGATACAGCGGGGAGTGTAAACAAAACGACCGTGGTGAAGGGAACAAAGGCGTGTTTACTTATGCGTGCGTAAAGGGTGCGTGAGTTTCTCTGAGCACTGCGTTTTATGTGTAGTAAACATATGAATTTGTGCAGGGGACCAGCCGTAAGCTATGCATGCGTTTATGCACAGACTTAATCCCATGTATGTAAGCATCCCTGCGTGCCCTTGCACCAAACTGTGTATCCCCCCCGAATGATGCAACTGACCCAGGTCTTAAGCGGACTCTGGAGACAGTCCATCGTCCGAAGCGCAGACAACAGTGGAGTCATCAAAGCATGTATAATCGGAATTGGCAAAAACAAATGGGGCACGGGAAAAATAGGAGATCGCATTCGAGTTTCCGTACGAGACAAAACAAACGATTGCACCATTCAGGAAAAAACTCCCAAGGGAATCATCGTTCGCAGGAAAAAAGAAACAAAGAGAAAAGATGGTAGCTACATCAAGTTCGATGACAATGCTTTTGTCATTATATCGAAGAACAAACTGAAGGCAACCAAGATAAAGGGCCCCGTTGCTATGGAGACGAGGCATAACTGTAAAAACCTCGCCAGGTACATTTTCTAATTACCTCCATGGAACGAGGGAGTGTAAGAAGGGAGGAGGGACTAGCAGACACAAAAGGGGACGCCGCTTCCCATTCCGTACTCAGCTGCAAGAAAAAAAAAAAACATGCTTACCCGCTTCCTCCATTTCGCTTTTCTGTTTTTTAATAATTTTTGACTTTTTTTTTTAAGAACTGTTACTTTGGGCATATATGGAAAAAAAAAAAAAATAACCATGTATATATATATATGTATTCACATGTAGAAAACATATGTGTCATTAATAAGACTGTAACTCTGTTCGCGCGTATGGTGAAAAATACTCACGCCGGTTTAAAATGGGCATGCTCTTAAAGGTGGTGCGCGCTCCATGTTCTGTTTAGCGACATCTCTGGGCGTGTTACTGAGCTGTTGTCCTGGCCCTTGTTGTGCGCGGCCCTTGCGCCTTGTTCCCGTTCATCCTACACGCACGCAGCACTGATAACATACACCAAAAAATGGAAATTTGCGCAAATAAAAACTCCTCTCCTGGAGCGGGCCCCTGAGCGTTCCTTTGTCAACTTAATTATGTGGTATGCAGCTTATCTCGTTGGACGTCAAAAATGGTAAAAAAAACACAGGCTGATGGTTGATGGCCCATGCGCACGATAAATTGGGCGAACCGTATGTATCATATAAAAAAAAAAAAAAAAAAAAAAAAGTGGGAGGGTAACTTCCCGCGAAAAAGAACACGTAATATAAATAAAAATTGGGACATCCTATATGGTTGCATAGGCAGCACAAAGCTTCGGAGTGTCGGAAATGGAAATGTAAATGCCGATAATTAAACCTGCGGGCGGGGGAACAAAGCGGATGCGCGAATAATGCACACATATGTTCGTGTGTTGGGGTGGGGAACACACTATGGAACAGAGAACACATGTGCGTGGAAGAAGAGTGAACGCACATCTAGGAGTGTACAGATAAGTCAGACAAAACGTCCACATAAGATGCACATGAGCGCCATCCAGTTCCAGTTTCGTATCCAAGGCGGACAGCAGCGCACAATTGCTCTCACCATATAGAGCCAGGGTTTCCGAAAAGACAAGAATTAAAATCATTCCGATGAATAATCTATTTTGCTGCGCATTGGCTCTTACTCCAGCGTCACCAACAATACCTATAGCGAGCCCGGCGGCCTGTAGTATGGGGGAGACAACGGGAAAAACAAAAAAAATGGCTCACATGTTCTACCTACTTGGGGATCCACGCACGCAACACACCACAGCGGCATAATGGCGCAGTTGTGATGGGACGCAACAGTACACCCTTATGTGCACACTCCAGGATATATGTTTCGAAAATTTTGCCCTTACCAATGAACTCAGTCCCACTATGAGTCCAGATGACAGGTGGGTGTATCCGGAAAAAGTAGAATATTCTGCCGCGGGGGACACTGCAGGGAGGAAAAAAAAAAACAAAAAAAAAAGGGGGGGGAGACTATAGGCATACTCATAAGTGTGCAGTTGTACCCGTATGCATCTATGTTTAGCGATAACAACAGCAGATCGCCTCCAATGAACCCAACACCTTAACGCGTGCGAATCCCACTGTTCATCAATTCGCGCGCACGCCCCTGGTTCATGGATGAGCGTGTAGGTGTCACTAACTTTTTCCATATATAAGGATAGACATAATGATTCCGTAGATTCCAAGGACACCAGCCATAACCACAGGCAAAATCGATTTCATGATTAAATCGGGCCTCATGACACCAACGCTACACACCCCTACGCCACTTTTGGCCGTACCATAGGCGGCCCCGAGATCTGCAAAAGGAAGTGAGATGGGAGTAGAGGTGAAAAGGAATGAACATGAAAACAATTTACATTGCACGGTGTGCACAACTTCCCACGTACATCAACACTGCACATGATAATATAAACAAAGGGGGGGATGGGCAGGACAGAGTACACGCAGGGTGAATAAATTAGTCCCCCCAACTTTAGCAACTGAAGATGCACAACTTGATCACGCAGATTGTTGCAAAACCACATCCATGTATTGGCGTTGGGGAAATGAATTCCTTCTCAACCAAAAAAAAAAAAAGGAAAAAAAAAAAGGAATAAAAAAGAAAGGAATAAAAAAGATTACTCGAAAAGATGGAGGACGCCGCGATCCCCATAAACCCAAAGAAAGCTGAATTCGGATCACATGGTCGCATTTTGGAAACAAGGAAAATAACTAAGATAAAGTGGGTTAAAATACGATAATGTTGGATCTCTTTGCTAAGCTCTGCGAGCTAAATTGGGGTGGAAACCCTTATGCAATTGTAATGCTGTGATTAAGAGGGGGGGAGGCACGAGTAGCGGAATGTGAACGAGCGATGAAGAGCGGTAACTATGTACGGTCAACAGCTATGACGGATGGCCAGATGACAAAACTCAGAAATAATGTCCCAACAGCATAAACTTTACACAAACGGCGGTATGCGCAATAAGTACACGTATGTCAATATACATGCTAATGTCAGGCCGTACGTGTCGTAAGCGTATGGTTAACACGCGTATCAATAATGTACAGAGAGTTATGTATGATGAAAAAAATGCGTACGTTAAAATGCTAAAGCGTTGGCATATATATATATACAGGTAAATATGCATATCGAGGGTAAAAGAAAAAACAAAAAAAAAAACAAGGAAAATGCGAAATATGTTTTACAGTTTTTTTTGCATTTTAATTGTATTTATTTAATTTGGAAAAATAAATTAAAAAAAAAAAAAAAAAAAAAAAAAAAAAAAAAAAAAAAAAAAAACTCCTTTTTTGCCTTCGCC